TATATATACCTTCACAGCAACACCTAGACTGGCCTTTTATCAGACATTTTGGGCACCTGTCATAGCCAAGTAGACACATAAAATTAACCATCACAAGTCCACTTCTTATCACCTTGGCATACACACATCCCCTTAAGTCATACTTTTGTGGTACAAAATGTGGGGCCCACGCTTTTGCCATGGCTTCATGACCCAGCAGGACAGAAAGGCACACAGCAAGGCCAAGAAGGTCCCATAATCCACACAAAGAGATCAGGCTCGAGGGATGTGTGTGGGCATGAGGGAGGAAGACGGGGGTCTTTAGTGCTCTCAGTGTCAGGGTGGGGGTCTGATAGGCAGAGGGTATAGAGGAGGTGTGATTTCTAACAGCATACTTGAGGTAATGAGTTCCCCATCCCTGGGAATATGCAGATATGATGGCACAAGACCTGAGGATTGTAGAGGAAATTTCTACCCCCGATAAGGTTTGGAGTCTGCGGAACCTTAGTCTGTTCTAAATGACAGTCCACCCAGCAGCCTACGGGTTGTGGGGGTTTCTGCATCCTCCTAACTTCCTGTAGCATTTGAGACAGCCTGTCCCACATCCCTTCTGTGAGTGTGTGTGTGTGGAGTGGGTCTCACTTGAAGTCTGGCATGTGTGGTTTGCTGCCATCATTGTGGTTCTAAATGCCATGCCTTATTTGTCTTGAGCTTGGAGATGATGCCCCCTTGTGGAAGGAAGGAGATGTTTCCCTTTGCTACCTTGTAACCTCCTGTGGGTTTGCTGCTGATTCTGCAGATTGAAGCTGTTGGCCTGGTGGAGAGGAGAGGCAGGGGGTCAAACCCTGCATATTTGCCATCTGCAGATTTGGGCCTGACTGTGGGGTCCTCCCCTCAGCTGAGGACTACCCTCTCTTAGAGCCCTGTCCAGTCGTCAGGCCACAGTGGGGCATGGCACATGGGAATAACTAAGGCTGTCATACCCATTTTTCTGATGGTAGATGTGGGGGATGCGGGGATGCTCCACAAATAAATGAGTTTTCACTCTGGAAAAGCAAGTGCTAGAAGATGAGTGTGAGAGAGAAACAGAAGAAAGAGAGAGCTTGTGAGAGATGCTCACTAAATATTGACTGATTAAATGAATGAAAGAATGAATGATTCTTTAGACTGGGGGAAGAGGATACCAAATATGAACATAAATAAGCTCTGGCAGTTCCTTCTTATTTTGTTGATCAACTGGGAGGATATGTCCAGGGTGCTGGGTGGAGAATCCTGAGATTTAGATGAGCTGGATAATGTAATGGCAGATAGTCCTGCCTCCAGCAGGGGCCCAGTGTGGCTAAGAACAAGTGTGCAGGAAGGAGCAGGGACCAGGGCATCCTGTGGGGAGAATGCCAAACTTCCCCATCCTGAGAGGCTGGACTCCCACTCTAGGCCCTTGTAGGGACAGTATGGAGAAGGAGAGGTCTTGAAGGGCTCCTTAAGGCAGGGACTTTGGTATTGCAGGAGCAGGTTTAATGAGGTCTGGAGAGATGGAGTGGACTTAGAATGAACTAATGGAATAGGGTGAGATAGGGAGAGACAGCCCAGAACAGTTGGCCCCTGGGAACCTAATGAGGGTTGGGGGAGAGAGCCACTGTTCAGGAGGAGGCCCCATCTGGGGTATCTGCCTCAGGCCACAATGGGCTGAGAAGCCCTCCAGAACATTACTGTTAAAAGCGTCTTACTAAAGGGATAGGACTCGGGATTAGGGTTAGGGTTAGGGCCTGGGACGTGGGTTTAAAACTCCAGGGTGGGGTGTTCTGGATGTTCATCATGGGTAACCCTGGGAGAGTCTTTGAGGGTCAGAACACAGGAGATGGCCGAGGGCATTAGTGGGGTCATCCTGGGATGGTCCTGGGGGAGGATTTGAGAGGCTGAGGAACAGAGTCAGAAGGTGCACTGTGAGAAAGTTCATGTAGAAGTATTTTGGGGGCTGAAAACAATGGGGACCACCCTGAGGGTTTGGGATCTCAGAATATGGTATCCTTTGGGGGTAGATATGGGATATGGGTTCTGGGAGACCTGGAAGGAGGAACTCTGGGGAAACAGGAGGGCAGAATTTGGGGGGAGGAAGGAACTTGGGGGATGGACTGTGGACGCTGAAGGGGTTCTTCAGGGGGTTATTGTGGGGGAGACTTGAGCAGAACATGAGTCTTTGTGGTGGATACGGGGCTTCATCACTTGTTGGGGATTCAGGGTGGGGCTCAAGAACATCAGTGTCAGAGAACATTAGATAATCAGTTGGGGAAACCAACAAGGAGGTGGATTTTTGCTCAGACCCAAGAATGTCTTGGCAAATGGATTTTGTGGCTCTCTCTTGGGGGCATTGGAAACAGGGGGTAAAGTATGGAATGCTTAAACCAGGCTCTGGTTGAGATTGCTTTCTATAATCACAATTTATTCTCTGTGAAGTCTTGATCATTATACTTATTTTCCTCTTACACAGTAGAAATAAACATGGAATTTAACCCAATGATAAATAAAGCCTTCCATTGTTAGATAATTATCTTTGATCTTTTGTACTTCCATCTTTCCTCCCTTCCTCTGGGGATAGATGTGACCTTGTCCTGGGATGTCATCAAGAAGATTTGTCTTAGTTGGTTTGGCTCAGTGGATACAGTATCGGTGGTGGACCGAAGGATCCCAGGTTCAATTCCGGTCAAGGGCACATACCTCAGTTGCAGGATCCTCCCCAGCTCAGGTCCTAGTCAGGGCAACCCACCGATCGATGTGTTTTTCTCACATTGATATTTCACTCTTCCCCTCTCTTGAAGAAATCAATAAAAAATATCCCCAGGTGAGAATAAAAAATAAATAAACAAACAAATAAACAAAAGGCGATTTAAATCCAGAGCAGAGAGCTCAAAGTTAAAGTCAGAACCTACTCCAGATCATTTCTCCTTCACCATCTTATAAGACCCCCTCTCCTTTGATTCTAAATAATAGCCTTCTTGTGTAGAGTAATCTTAGACATAGGTCTTTGCTTTTCTTCACTTTGAATATTTTATGACAATACCTTCTGGCCTGCAAAGTTGAGGAATCAGCTTTTTTTGTTTGTTTGTTTTGTTTTGTTTTGTTTTTCTTTTTTCAATCTTCACCTGAGGACATGTTCATTGATTTTAGAGAGAGGAAGGGAAAAGGATAGAGAGAGTGAGAGAAACATCAATGTGAGAGAGAAATATGCCTCTTGTAGTTGTCCCAACTGAGGACTGAACCCAATACCTAGGTAGGTGCCCTGACCAGGAATTGAGTCCACAACCTTTTGCTGTATGGGACAACACTCCAATGAGCCATACTGGCCAGGGCCAGCTCATAGTTTTATGGTATCTTTCTTTGTTTTTACTATATCTGAGTATTACTTTTTTAAATTCTATAAAATGAACTGTTTAATGCTACTCTTGACATTCTGGTCAAGGCATGAATGAAAATAAAACCCACAGAAAGTGGTCAGGAAAAAATTTTCCCAACCTAAGGGACCTATCCTGAAACCCCTACCTCAAAATGCGATAAGCACTCTCATACAAACACACACACACACACACACACACACACACACACACACACTCGGGCACAGAATGAAACAAACATTGTTGAAGAGTCCCATCAGTATTTTTCAAATGCTGTGAGATTGTACACCTACATAATCCCAAATGGACTAATCTCAAAAGAGAAGTCAGCAGTCAAGATAATTTAGTGCCCTGACCAGTGCAGTTCAGTTGCCTGGATGTTCTCCCGTGCTCCAGGTTGGATTCCTGGTCAGGGCACATTCCTGGGTTGGAGGCAAAGCCCCCTAACCGGGGTAGGGGGTGTGCAGGAGGCAGCAGATTGATGATATTTGATAATATTTATTTCCCTCTCCCTTCCTGTCTCTCTCTCTCTCTTAAAAAAAAAAAAATCTTAAAAAAAAAAAAAGATAATTTACAAATTAGATCCAAAATCAAAAACTAAAGGTCAAGGTTTTTTGATGAATTTCCCATTGATGTCATCTGTTGTTATTTCAATATGTTAGGGAAACTTCCAGGGAAGGTTGTGTTAAAACTCACTTTTTCTTTACTGTGTAAGGATACACAAGATGTATAAAGAATAATTACTCAAGCCTGGCCAGCGTGGCTCAGTGGTTGAGCATCTATCTATGAACCAGGAGGTCATGGTTGGATTCCCAGTCAGGGCACATGTCTGGGTTGCGGTCTCAGTCTACAGTGTGGGTTGGAGGCAGCCAATCAATGATTCTGTGTCATCATTGATGTTTCTATCTCTCTTCCTTTCCCTTACTCTCTGAAATACACACACACACACACACACACACACACACACACATACAAACACACACTGAGTGGCCAGATTATTGGGCCACGTTTTGCCTTCAATACTGTGGCAATTCTTGCCATTGACTCCATGAGATGTTGAAAGGTGATGTGAGGAATCTGACAGCATGCCTGATGAATAGCACTGTCCAGTGTGAGATATATATATATATATATATATATATATATATATATGCATTAAAAAAAGAATACTCTAGCCAATAAATGAAAAGATGATAGAACATGAATATCATTATTATTAAACTACTACTGAATTGGTGAATCAGGCCAGCAACAGATAACACTGGATTAACTTGAACTCATAAGGGCTGACCTGATTGTCTGACCATCCATCTTATTGATTCTATTATGCTAGGACCTCTGAAACCTATCAGCCCCCTACTGTTCAAGTACCAAGGCCCCTGGAGCTTTCTGGGGCAGGAAAGGACCCCACCCCTTAGCCCTGCATTGTGAAGTCTTCTGAAGGGAACAGCAGGCTGGCTGATGTCATAGACCAGCCCCTCTCTGTGTCTTTGCCTGTGCCTGCCCCAACCTCAACCTTTCTCCCCAGAAGAGAGAAGTCAGCCTTGCTCAACTGTCCACCCACCTGATACAAATCACCCTAACCTCTCTGAGCCCCAAAGGACCCCAGACCCCAGGGTGACCCCCACCTCCATCCCCGCGAACAAGACCCTACCGTAGGACACCCCAGCATGTTGGGCAACACGTTGCCCCCAAACACTAGCGCTGTGGTCATCGACATGGGCACAGGCACCTGTAAGGTGGGCTTCGCGGGCCAGGCCCGGCCCGCCTACACCGTGGCCACCATCGTGGGCTGCCAGCCCAAGAGGCCGGCCACCAAGGGGCAGACGGTGCTGGAGACGTTCATTGGCGAGGCCGCCCTGGCGCGCCCGCAGCTGACGCTGGTGAAGCCCATCCGGAATGGCATCCTGGTGGACTGGCTGGCGGCGGAGTTTATCTGGCGCCACCTGCTGGAGCACGACCTGGGCATCGCCACCCAGGACCACCCGCTGCTGTTCTCCGACCAGCCCTTCAGCCCCCTGACCAACCGCGAGAAGCTGGTGGAGGTGGCCTTTGAGTCCCTGTGCTCCCCGGCCATGTACGTGGCCTCCCAGCCGGTGCTGTCGGTCTACGCCCACGGGCGGGTCAGCGGGCTGGTGGTGGACGTGGGCCACGGGGTCACCACCACGACGCCCGTCTTCCAGGGCTATCACCTGCCCCATGCCACGGAGCGCCTGGACCTGGCGGGCGCGCACCTGACCGCCTTCCTGGCCGAGATGCTGCTGGGCGCCGGCTTGCCGCTGGGGCAGCAGGACCTGGACGTGGTGGAGAGGATCAAGCACTGCTGTTGCTACGTGGCGCCTGACTTCCAGAAGGCGCAGGCCCTGCCCGAGCAAGAATGCCAGCTGAGCCTGCAGCTGCCCGACGGCCGCGCGGTCACGCTGGGCAAGGAGCTGTTCCAGTGCCCCGAGCTGCTGTTCAGGCCCCCGGAGATGCCCGGCCTGTCGCCCGTGGGCGTCCCCGCCATGGCCACACGGAGCCTGAACAAGGTGCCCCTGGAGGTGCGGGCACACCTGGCCCAGAACGTGCTGCTGTGCGGGGGCTCCTCGCTCCTCAAGGGACTCGAGGGTCGCTTCCTACAGGAGCTGCAGTGCAGCCTGCGCCCTGAGGATGCGCACATCGTTGCGGTGGCTGCCCAGCCCTCCAGGAACTTCTCCGTGTGGATCGGGGGCTCCATCCTGGCCTCGCTGCGGGCCTTCCAGTCCTCCTGGGTCCTCAGGGAGCAATACGAGGAGCAGGGGCCCCACATCGTGTACCACAAGTGCTACTGAGTGTGGCAGGGGCTTGGAGGGGATGGGGCAGTAAAGCTTTGTTACCCAGCCAGCTCTGCCCTGCCTTTCCCCCGGGGTCAGTCTGGTCCACTCCTGGCCCCAACCCAGACGCTGACCCACTAACCCTGTCAAACCTGTTTCCCATGATTAGTGCACCCCAAGGCACTCACGGTTTAGGACCCCCACCCAAGTGTAATCCCTAGATAGTCCCAGATTTGGATATCTTAATCTCTCACCCCCAGGAACTATTTTTTCTTGTTTGTTTGTTTTTATATAATCCCCATGATTCCCTTGGGCTTTAAGCGCCTCCCCCACCCGCCAATTCACACCATTGATAGGTTCATCAAAGATCCTCAAACCCATTTCCATAACTTGTTCCTCTCCAAGGACCTTGCACCAGAATGCTCAAACCCCCCTCCCAGAATCTTTCCATGAGTGCTCCAGCCCCTGGGTGCACCCTTATAATCTGCCCCTATTTCTAATGCCTGCAAACATACCCCCTCCAGAATCCACTTGCCAAGACATCCCCGGTTCTGAGCACGCCAAACCCATCTCCTGGTTGGTTTCCCCTTTTTTCTTACCCAACGTTATCCAACTCCCTGATGTTCTGAGTGCCCCCTAAGTCCTCCTCACAAGTGCCAAACTCGCATAAACACCACAAAGGTTCATGTTATGCTCAAGGGTCTCCCTTATAATGGCTCCCTAAGGGACCTCCAGTGTCCAGAGCCCATTCTCCAAGTTTCACCCTCTCTCAAAACTATCCCCAGCATGATTTGTTCCCCCAGAATTCTTCCTTCCATCCAGAGCCCATTCCCTATCTGTATCTTCAAGAACATCATGTTCTGAGACCCCAATGCCCCAATCTGGCGCCCACTGCTCTCAGCTCAACCCCTTGCACTAAGTCTGCCCCAGAAATACACTCGAATGGCCCATCTCACAACGAACCTCCTAATGCAATTCCCCCCCGCCCCCCCAGGCTCTTGCCTCCAGAATCATCCGGTAGTGATCCCACTAATGCCCTAGGCCAGTGGTCGGCAAACTGCAGCTCTCGAGCCACATGCAGCTCTTTGGCCCCTTGAGTTTTTAGCAAAGGCCAGCTTAGGAGTACCCTAATTAAGTTAATAACAATGTACCTACCTATATAGTTTAAGTTTAAAACATTTGGCTCTCAAAAGAAATTTCAGTCATTGTACTGTTGATATTTGGCTCTGTTGACTAATGAGTTTGCCAACCACTGCCCTAGCCCATCCCCTGTGTTCTGACCCCCCAAAGACCCTCCTCCAGGCTTGCCCCAAAATGGACATCCAGGATACCTCACCCTGGAGTTTCAGACTCCCCAGAACCCAACCCCAGAACCAGTCCTTGGACCCCATCCCATTAGTTGAGACAATAATAGGCAGTGTTGTTCTGAGGGCTGCCCAGCCCACCATGACCTGGGGCAAATACCCCAGTGGGGTCACCACCTGGACACTGGCTCTTCCCTCCACCTCCACACAGGTCCCCAGTGGCCTACTGTCTGTCCCCATATCCCTCCCTTGGTAGTTCATTCCAAGTTCACTCCATTTCCCCGGATCTTGCTCAGACTGTTCCTGTCACCAAACCTCAAGGGGTTCACAGCTTTGGGTGTTCTATTCAGGGCACCACTACTGAATTAGTGATCAAGCAGGGAACAGATAACACTGGATTAATTTGAACTCGTTAGGTTGATCTGATTGCCTGATCAATGGTGTTATGATGCTAGGCCCTCTGAAACCTATCACCCCCCTAATGTTTAAGTACCAAGGCCCTGGGTGCTTTCTGGGCCAGGAAAGGACCTCACCTCCAGCCTCATTCAGGAATGAGACGTGGTTGTCCTTCGGTAGTTTTGTTATAGATGCCAAGAAAGATGTCATCGGACAGCCCCCTGAGTCGGAGAGAGAGAAAGCTGTCCCCTCCCCTGTTCTTGTCATTCTCTTGTAGTAAACAAACTTATTAAAGAAATAAACCAAGTAAATTTATCCAAAAAAGCAAGGTAAGCAAATCTATCAAATGCATTCAGCTTATGAGGCACAGACGGGCTTTCTCCGTTAATGTGAGGAGGGAGTCTGATGGGGGTTAGTATTTTCCGGCCTTTCTGTCTATAGGATTTAAAAGCCCTGTGCCAGCTATCTTGGTACAAAGTAACTCTCAAGGTCTCCCTTTTACTTCAGTATAGCTTTCCCAGAAGTGATGAGAAGCATCTGATGACTTGATCTTTAACAGGCCCTGAGACTGCTGGCTTCTCTGTGTAGACAGTGAGATGAAAAGTCCCTCTTCTCTCCTCTTTCCCCCTTTCCAGTCCTGCCTTAGCAGTTCCAAGGCAACTTACATTGTGTATTCTTTGGTTAGGAAGTAGAGTCATTACCCCCCCCCCCCCCCCCTTCCTGCATTCTTCCATTAGTGAGGAGAGGATTAGCCATTTGTTCTCACCGTAAGGTTTTAACCTGCTGGGAGTTGCCCAAACTGTTTAATCTTGTTCAATTTCTTGTTTGTTTCCCTACTCTACTTACTGAGGAATTTTGCTAGCTTCTTACAATCCTGTTACACTTTTACTATTTACCTGCATCAAGTAAAGGACACGGGGATTCACATCTGCCTCTTAGAAAAGACGCTTAGTCATTGATTATATACACTATTTTGTTAATGACAAGTTGATTTCTCTTGACAGTTGGCTAAACTCATCCAAATTTTGTTAATTGCATGTTGGTTTGTTTGCAATTAGTTAAACATCTTACCTGTGTTCTGTCAGGTTCATAAGGTTACTTCTAGGTCTGCAAGATACTGTTATGTTTTTTTAACATTTAGCAGGAACAGCAATGGGTAAGACTAGCCTTCAGTAAGAAATGCAAAGACCTTGAGACCCTTGTCTTATTCCTGAGATTCGCTCCTAGGGGCTTTCTCTGGAACCTGCCTGAGGATGCCAGCGAGGTTTCTCCCCATGGGTCTCTGTCCTCCCTCTGCCCTCATCCTCAGCCAGCCTGGAGTCCTGACAAAGGCAGGACCCTCTGCATTCAGGCCTTCCAGCACAACAAAAACCAGAACCTCATCCTGCAGCCTGGACACACCTTCTCGGTGTATCAAAAAAGAAGCACAAGCTGCCAGAGCTTATCTATGTTCGCAGTGGGTCCTCTCCTCCCCAGTCCAAGGCTTCATTCATTCATTCATTCATTCATTCAACCTATCAACCGTTATGGAGCCTTTCTCACAGGCTCTCTCTCACTATTTCACGCTGGGTCTTTCTGTGCGTCTTGACTCACCTGCCAGGATTGTTCATAAGCAGGAATTTTCCATAGTGGAAACTCATTTATTTGTGGAGCACGGAGGCCACCCCACCCATCTCCCACATATACTATTGCAGCGTTTTTCAACCACTGTTCCGAGGCACAGATGTTGCCTGGTGTGCCATAGGTGCAGACAAGACAAGAATTTTATAATTTTTCACTATTTTGTTTACTTAATATTTCATAATAAAGTAATTATAAAATACTTTCTTTGTGTTTATTTGATTCCTATTCAAGAGAATTACTTTATATATAGTCAATATAGGCACAGAGTTAAATTTTTTAACATTTTCTAATGGTGGTGTGCCTCGTGATTTTTTTCATGAAACAAGTGTGCCTTTGCCCAAAAAAGGTTGAAAAACACTGTACTATTGGACGATAGGTGAGGGTGAGGGCCCTAGCTATCCCCCCTTCTCCCCCCATTCTGTCCCACTGTGTCCAGTCCCATTCCTGGAGAGCAGGTGGTGGTCAGCTGGAAGGAGGGCCCCACAGTTAGGCCTAGATCTCCAGATCACAAACACACAGGATTGGACCCTACGCCTCACCTCCCCACCTGGTAAGCAAGGCAGCTTCAATCTGTGGAATCCTCAAGAACCCCCAGGAAGTTACAGGGTAGTGAGGGGAAGCTTCTTATTCTTCCCACCAGGGGCAGCACCTCCAAGCTCAAGATATGAGGACCTTGACCTTAGAACCACAATGACTGCAACAGACCAGTCATCCCAGACCTCAGGAGAAACCCACCTCACAGCACGGTGCCAAGGCTCTGCCAGTCACACACACACACACACGTGTGTGGGACAGGCAGTCTCTAATGCTATAGAAAGTGAGGAGGATGAAGAAACTCCCATCACTATAGGCTGCTGTGCAGACTCTCATTTAGACCAGTCTAAGATTCCCCCAGCTCTAAACCCTACCTGTGGCATAAATTTATTCTACAGCCTTTTGGACACGTGCTCCTCACATTTGCACACTCCCAAGTCTGATGTCTGCAATCTCACCTCTTCCTAGGAGTCATCGGTAACCCCCTGCACTCTCTGCTGGCCACTCCACTCAGAGCACCGAAAATTCCAGCCTCTGATCTCCTCTATGCCCACACACAAACCTGGCGTCTGTTTTCTCCAGATGGGTGGAGGGCGTCATCCTGGTCTTGCTGTGCGCCTCTCTGTCCTACTGGGCCCTGTGGGAACAGTGGGAGAAGCATGCGCCCCACATCGTGTACTATGGAAGTATGAGGTAAGGAGATGTGCCCAGGTTTGGGAAAGGTTGGGCTGTGATGGTTAATTTTATTGTCTCCTTGGCTAGGCTAAGTGTTTGGATGTTTGATGAAATGCCAGTTTGGATGTTTCAGAGAAGGTATGTTTTAGATGCGATGAACATTTAAATCAGTAAGCTTTCAGTGAAATGGATGATTGCCCATCATGTGAGTGGGTCTCATCCAATCAGTTGAAGGCCCTAATAGAACAAAGACTGACTTCGCCCAAAGTAGGAGGGTGCCAGCAGACTGCCTTTGGACTCCAGCCACAATTCTTCTTGGGTCTCCAGGCTGCCAGCCTACCCTGCAGAGCATTTGGACTTGTCAGCCTCCACAATCATGTGGCAAATGTTTTAAAAAATCATTCTTTCTTTACACATGCATTTTTTATTGTTTCTGTTTCTCTGGAGAACCCTGAGTAATATTTGTGCTAATTTCCTGTCCTACCT